AGTTAAACTATGAGTTACAGGAATTATCTTTATTATAACTGATGTATAGTTTCTACCTCAGAACTATCATGGCTTTGTGCATGGGTTTAGACTATTTTTGAAAAGAAAAAGCGAAACCGAGTTGCAAGATGTACAATGGAAAATATCTTGTTTTCCCCAGAATACATAGACATGGAGGAAATAGAGGGTTTAGGGATAGTTTGTTGATTCTGTATACAATAAAAAAGTTTAAAACCTCTGTATTGGAAGATTCAAGAGAGCTCTTGAATCCTCCAATACAGAGGTTTTTAACTTTTTTATTGTATAAAAAAGTTTTCTTAGGGGACTAGTGGACTAGGGGAATGGTGTCAATATAATTTACTTGGTCTTCAGTAAGGCAAAGTAGACCATAATCTATTACTTGATAAAATAGAAAAATGTGGGTCCACACACACTCAACATGTAATCCTCAATGGAACTGCATCTACATGGAAGGTGGTATGCAGTGGGGTAGCCAGAGCTCAGTTTTAGGCCCAGTACTCTTCAACATATTCATCAATGATTTGGACTAGGGGATAGATGGGGAACTCATCAAATTTGCAGATGACATCAAGCTAGCAGGAATATCCAACACTCTGGAAGATAGATTTAAGATGCAGAAGGATCTTGACAGACTTGAACATTGGTCACTATCTAACAAAATGAATTTCAATGGTGAAAAAAATAAGGTTCTACATTTAGGCAAGAAAAACAAAATGCACAGGTACAGTATAGATGATACCTTGCTCAATAGTAGTAACTGTCAGAGGGATTTTGGAGTCCTAGCGGACAACCACTTAAATATGAGCCAGCAGTGTGCAGCATCTGCCAAAAAAGCCAACACAGTTATAGGCTGCATAAACAGAGGGATAGAATCAAGATCACATGAAGTGTTAATACTACTTTATAATGCCTTGGTAAGGCCACACTTGGAATACTGCATTCAGTTTTGGTCGCCATGGTGTAAAAAAAGATGTGAAGAAAGTGTGCAGAGTGCAGAGAAGAGCAAC